GTGTGTGTGTGTGTGTGGGTGTGTAATTCTACTTTTCAAATAAATAATTCAGTACATTTTTTAGGCAGAGAGACAGAAATACTTACAGAAGCACCAAGCATGCTCTGTTATTGTTAGTGCTATGGCTGCTTATGAGAGAAAACATAATGGGAATTCTTTTCCTGACTTCATTGCTTGTCGGCAAATTGAGAAGGCAGGAAACACTCAGGGGAATGACAATGCAACCAAGATTAACCAAGACTCTCTAAGCAACATAACAGGACACTCAGACCTCAGTGTTAGAAGTCCTACGTCAGCTCTTCATAAAATAAATAAATAAAAAGTCCAATGTCTCACCTAAAAGTAGGATGTCACAAAAGAAAGGTGTTTGAGAAATAGTGACATTCCTTTATTTTGTGAGTATATTTACTTATTTATATCTATGCCTTATCTTTGTCTGCTACATACACAAAATTAAATGAAGCCAAACTTAATTCTTTTAATTCCCCAAGTTCTCATCCATATAGGCACTGACATATCATGACAGCTCACACAACGAAACAGAGAAATGGGAATCTAGGCCTCCTGATGATTCCAGGATGTGTCTGCTACCTTGGGTCCTCAGAAAGTCTCAAAAGGGAATTAAGAGTAATTGTTACAAGAAAACATCTTCTTTCAACATGAGAGCTTGGCTTTTCTCCTACAGCTCAGGCAGCAAGCTGATGGCCTCAAATTGGTTCCTCTACATGGAATTGGAAGGACCTGCTTGCCTGGTTCCATTGTTCACTAGTAAATAGCAGGCAACCCTTACTGATTGTAGAGCTTAAAAGGACATGATGCTTAACCTGGTCAGGTGTCTGTTTCTCACCATTACAGTTGAATGGGTAAATCCTAAGCTGCACTGATGTGAGGTGGGGCTGTCAGGATTAGAACTGGCGCCCACATGGGAGCCCAGTGTGTGCAAGGTGAGGACTTTAGCTGCTAGACTACTGCTCTTGGCCCTCTGTATTCTGCATTGATGTCAGCCAACCTGATTGAATGATTCCTATCATGTGCCAGTGCTCTTAGCTGACTGGATGATCGCTGCTTAAAAACCCCAGAGCACAGCTGATCAGGTCTGCTCGCCTCTTCCATTTGCAGTGGTACAGGGGAGTCCACCAGTTGGTGCTGGCCAGTGAATAAACACTCCAGAGCTTCTAAGAGGATGCCTCGGACTCATGTCTGGAATTCATCTGGTCAACTCACAACAAGATAATTTGGAGACTTACAATTAAGAGAGAAATGTAGGTGCCTAAAATTAGATATGAGAGAACCATATTAGCCTTTGGATATCTGAAATTCTCCCTAAAAAGCAGACAGTGCAAAAAGGACATCAAAACAAAATATACAGAGATAGATAGATAAAATTTGTAGACAAAAATCAAATACAAATCCAATTACTGGTGGGTTAGGAGCATTCACCCACAGGAGCTGGAAAACAACATCACCATCAGGTCATTTCTGGATAGCTCAACAGGCAAACTCAAGAATAACAGCACCAAGCAGAATAGGACATTATCAATACCAACTCAAGCCCAGAAGACAGAGGCACACCACGGAAGTCCTCACTCACTGGTGAACCAAGCACAAAGAAGGGCCAAGGAAGAGAGGACAGTGGCTGAGCAGAGGCCCTCAGAAAGGGCACAGTCAGGGACAGGCTTTGGGCACAGCGACTGAGATGCCAATGTGCATCCACCCAACACTGGAGTCCTCAAAACCATATCCCAGCTCCTACAACAGCATGCCCTGGGAACAACAAGTGATGTCACCCCCATGGGACTCAGGCTGAATGCTGTGCTGCAGGCTTCAGGCTGACACCACCGCAGAAGCTGGGGCACTGAAATAGCTTAGAAAAAGCTGATTAGGACAGAAAAAAAATGATGAAAATAACTCATCCCAGAAATAAAGGTTAAAAGTAGAAAACACACACAGCAATGCATAACAGAATGATACAGGAAGATGATTTTTAAAAGAAAGGAAATTTTAGAAAGAAAAGGAAATTGTGAGATAAAAAAATCCAAGAAAATATAAGTAATAGAAGATGGACGTAGAATATATAATCGTCATACAGTAAAAACCTTTTAAAAAACACTTAAGAAATGCAAAAGCAAGTTCTAAAATCAACATGTCATAAAATTTTATGAAATACCAGTATTTTAGACTACACACACACCAGAAACAATTATATACACAGGAATATAGCCATCATTGAGAAAATTCTAGTACAATAACTGGACTTTGAAGAAAACCAGTTTCATGGACAAAGAAACCAAGTCACTCCCAAAACAGCACCCACAACTAAAGTCAGGTTTTTACTGCATTTGGGAAAAACACTTTATGACAAAGGAAAATGGGGTCGCATACTTAAGATGCTCAAGACCAAAATATTTGAACACTTCCAAGTCACCTGAAAATTCTGAGCCACAGTTTAATTTTATTCACTGAAAGAAACATGAGAACACTGAGCTAGGAGTCCTGCCTAGAGACCTTCTCAGAGGATTAGCTTCAGAAAAACCAAAACGATTAGTGAGTCATCAATGTGAGGATATGTGGTGAGTGCTGAACCCAAGCCAGTGTTTACTTATACAGCCAGCAATGAGCACTTTCAACACATCTACTCCCCGTGACCCTCTCTGAACTGTGATGTGGCAGATGCCATCTCATCTTGAAGGCATAGACCAAGTCGGGAACAAAGGTGACAAGGAGCAGTGTGACAGCAGATCCCACACTTCCCAGCCACTGCACAATCACACAGAGACCCATAGGGCTCCATCCCCTTCTGTTTTCTACTAAAATTGTTTTTTAAAAAAGTCATTATGTCTTATCGGGAATCTTAATTGGATGTTGTACATTTAAAGGAATATGGGGTGGAAAGGTGTTAACAGAGTCTGGAAACAAATATTTGAGGTACAAATCTGCCTCAAAAAAATTAACTGAAGTCCTAAACAATATGGGATATAAATATTTCTATGCATACACATACTCACTGCTACTTACATTCTCCTAACCCTAACATGAAATAAAATATTAACCAGGAGTTTGGTGAGTTGCAAAATGAGGGACACACATTCACTTTTTCAGTACCACAATTATCTGATTCTTTTATTGCCACCATCTGCTGCTTTCTTTAAAGATCATTTTTATTCATTTATTTTACTCATTTGAAAGAGTGAGGGGATTTCTAAAAACTCATCAAAAGCCTGCAATGGCCAGCGTTGGGTCAGGCTAGAGCTGAAAACCAGGAACTGGATCTGGGTCTCCCTCATGGATGGACCCGGCTCTCCCTCTTGGTTCCCTCGTGGATCCCTTGTGGAGGGACGCGGGTCAGCCTCATGGGTCCCTCATGGATGGATCCAGGTCTCCCTCATGGGTTCCTCATGAATGGACCCAGATCTCCCTCGTGGGTCCCTTGTGGAGGGACCTGGGTCTGGGTCAGCCTAGTGGGTCCCTTGTGGAGCAACCCGGGTCTGCCTCATGGGTCCCTCGTGGATGGACCCAGGTCTCCCTCATAGAGGGACCTGGGTCTGCCTCGTGGGTCCCTCATGGAGCACAGGCTGCCTGCATGGGTCAGCATCAGCTGGAAGCTGGAATCCACAACAAAGCCAGGACTCAAGCCTAGGCACACCAACATGGCATATGGGCATTACAAGCAGCAGCTTGATTACTATACCAAATGCCTGCCTCTCTCTGTCTCTCTCGCTCTCTCTCTCATCCTCTTTCTCTGCCTTTCAGTCTTCAAACTTTTCTAAGCACCCAGGTTGTGCCATGATCACATCCCTCAAGACAAGCCTCAGACATAAGCTGGGATGTATACACACAAGGCAGGGCTCTCTAAAGGAAATCTCTCATACAGATAAGCAGAAAAATCTTCAAGAAAACTAGAATATATTTGTTACAAGGATCTCATGAAGCCAAAAGGATAAGCATGGGATTTGGGGCCGGTGTTGTGGCACAGCAAGTCAAGTCAACCACCTGTGATGCCAGCATCCCATATGGGTGCCAATTTATGTCTCAGCTGCTCCAAACCTTCTCATCCAACTACTGGAGTGCCTGAAAAAGTTGCAGAAAATAGACCAACTGCTTGGACCCCTGACACCCATGGGAGATGAGGATGGAGCTCCGAGCTCCTGGTTATGGCCTGGCAAGCCCTGACTCTTGTGACCACGTGCGGACTGAACCAGTGTGCGGACTGAACCAGTGAACAGAAGCATTTCAACTAATTTTTTTTTTTAAATAGTAAGAATAATCTTTTAAAAATAATAAAAATCTGCACTGGAAGAAGGCATTTATCTTGGTGGAGAACATGCTCAAACTCGCAAGCAGCATGCCTGGGAAAGATTCCTGGCTTTAAATTCCAATCCCAGCTCCCTGCCAGAGCAGACCATGGGAAGTGATGTCTCAAGTCACTGAGCTCATCCCAGCCCTACTGGCACCATGGAACTTGTTTCTGGCTTCTGACTTTAGCTCCCAGGCCCAGTCCAAGCTGTTGCAAGCATCTGAGGAGTAGACTTGTGGATAGGAGCTGTCTCTGTGTCTTACCCTGTCTCTCTACCTCTCAGATAAGTAATATTTACAGATTAAAAAATCTCTGTGGCAGCCAAATAAAATGTGTCAAACTTGGGCATGGTGCGGTAGTCTAGTAACTAAAGTGTTTGCCTTGCATGTGCAGGGATCCCATATGGGCACCAGTTCATTTCCCAGCTGTTGCATTTCCCTTCCAGCTCCCTGCTTGAGGCCTGAGAAAGCAGTAGAGAATGGACCAAAGCCGTGGGACCCTGACACATATGGGAGATCCTGAAGAAGCTCCTGGCTCCTGGCTTCAGATTGGCTCAGCTCTGGTCATTGTGGCCACGTGGGGCGTGAATAAGTGGATGGAAGATCACATTTCTTTCTGTCTCTCCTTCTTTCTGTCAATCTGACTTTACAATAAAAATAAACAAATCTTTTAAACAATGTATCAAACTCAATCTTAGAATACTTACACTTAATTCCTTTTTTAACACTTCTTCAAGAACATGCCCCTCATGTGCTGTCTCCTCTTTTGTGTCCATAACTAGGCAGATCTCTTGTGAAATTCTCTCTGAGATAAAAAGAAACAACAATAATAAAAACCTTAGGTATCAAAGAAAACATGGAATAAGGCCCTAGTGTTCTGAATTCTTATTTGAGCGTCACAGCAGTGGGAAAAGGGGCATTGTGGCTTCAGGCCAAGGGGAGTATCCTGCACTACACACTGAGATTGTCTTGAGCACATGACAACATGGAATATGTCAGGCAACAAATCTCCATGGCAGATAGGTACTGTGTGGGCAGGTATCCAGTCACTGAGCAACCAACAGATGGAAGAGATCTCATGATACACACGGACAGGGAGTTCCTGGAGGTACCAGGACTTAGCTACCAAGTCAATCCTTTACTATGTATAAATTGTCCCAGAATTGGAGAGATTCTCTTTTTAGGTAACAGGTCTCCTGCACACAGACTCACTGTGCCACACAGACCCTAAGTCAACTAGAGCATCTTCCTTGGTCACAGCACATCAATCCAATATAACAAACTTCCTTTTTTATTATAACCATAGCAAGTGAAAAGGGCTGAAGGACCAAAAACCTCAATCAAAGTTTGGCTAACATTTACTTCTGACACAGACAACTCTATATAACATGTCCCAGAAAGCCACTGATCTAGCAGATGTTCTTGAATTCTCCAATCAAATAAAAACCCATCATTAGATGTAGCACGGTGGCCTAGTGGCTAAAGTCCTCGCCTTGAATGCACCAGGATCCCATATGGGAGCCGGTTCATATCCCAGGAGCTCCGCTTCCCATCCAGCTCCCAGCTTGTGGCCTGGGAAAGCAGTCAAGGACATCTCAAAGACTTGACATCATGCATCCATGTGGGAGACCTGGAAGAAGCTCTTGGCTAATGGCTTTGGGTCCACACAGCTCTGGTCATTGGGGTCACTTGGGGAGTGAACCATTGGACAGAAGATCTTCCTCTCTCCTATTCTCTGTATATCTGACTTTGCAATAAAAATAAAATAAACCTTTAAAAACAATCATCATTTAGAATGATGACACTGGTGCTTAATACTCCAGCTGAGACCCTCAGCGTATCAAGTATATGCCATGTTGCAGGGCTACATGCAGTATTAACTCTACGGCCCACAATGATCCTGTAGAAACAAAATTATTCTGAATCCATATAATGTAAGAAGCGAGGCAACTTGCCTAAGGTCAGAGGATATCAAGTCATAGAAAAACAATTCAAAGCCAAAGTGATAATTCCTATCAACACCTTGATGCTCTTCCACAACACCCAAACAAAAAGAAAAAGAGATACAATATTAAAAGCTAACCATTCTTACAGGAAAACTATTTGTGTTTTCAGTAGCAATTACTCCCACTTATAAGCACATGATAAACATGAGAGTACTTTCAATAGTTCATGAAAGAACTGAATTACAGGAAGTTCATTTTATTGCAAACCACACACACACATACGGGTTTTTTTAATCAGATTTTTAAATGCTTGAGTATTCTGTAATATCTGCGCAGTTCAATGTTTTAACACATACATATGAATATAAACTGATCTTGGCAGGCAACTGGCTTTTCCTCCCTTGTTTGTTCTTTGTGCTTGCAGCCTGCCAGCTTCCCTCTTCCCACGTGTGTATTATTGTATTGTAGGTCACTAAACAAGATGACAGGACACTCCGCATCCCCTGGAGTGCATGTGGTACCCAGCATCCAGCTTCCCTCACCTCACCCCACAGAGCCTCCAAGAAACCCCATTCTAAGTTCAAATCGACTATTTTATTGAATCCTCCAAAATGAGAGAGAAGGTAAGATATTTCTATGTCTGGCAGATTTCATTGAACAACATGATCTTCAATTCCATCCATTTTTGTTAGTTTCCAGGATTTCATTGTTTTTATGAAATTACCATCCCATTACACACACACAAGCACACACATACACGCATATGCACGCATACACAATCAGATTTTATTTATGCATTTACCATAAGTGGACATCAAGGATGATCCCACACCTTGAATACACTAGTACAACAGTGAGCCTACAAGCAGAGATATCTCATTGACATGCGGAGTGTCTTCCTTCAGATATACAACCTGACCCTGCTTTGCTTTGTTTTGTTTTGTTTACAATGTATTTAGTTCAATGGCAGAACTAGAGAGACCAGGAGAGATGGAGAGAAATGCTACTCCTTTTCTTAAGCTATTATGCTTGGGAATGCTGTTTTAACTTCCTTCACAAAGAAATGTCTATTGTGTTAAAAAAAAAAAAAATTGTCACTGATTTTTGGGTGTTTATCTTTTGACATACAATGTAACTGAATTTCTTTACAGCTTTCACAGTTCCTAGCTGGAATCATTAGGTTTATCTTCCTAGTAAAACCAAATCTCCAAATAGGAATAATTCTATTTCTCCTGTTATTTGTATACACTTTATTTTGTTGTAGAATTGTTTTGGTTAAAATTTCTTGTTGAATAAACGCAATGAGAATGGTCATCCTTGTCTCATCCATTTTTGGCTACGTCTGATTTTAACCTTTTTATGTTGAGCTATACTTTTCTATATCTGATCTGTTAGGCTTTTTTGTTCTTTAAAGATTTAGCCTTTTTTATTGGAAAGTCAGATTTACAGAGAGAAGGAGAAACAGAAAGAAAGATCTTCCATCCACTGGCTCATTCCCCAAGCAGTCACAGTGGCCAGAGCTGAGATGATCCAAAGCCAGGAGCCAGGAGCCTCTTCCAGGTCCCCCACGTGGGTGCAGGGTATCAAGGCTTTGGTCTATCCTTGACTGCTTCCCCAGACCACGAGCAGGAAGCTGGATGGGAAGTAGAGTAGCCAAGATATGAACCATCATCCATATGGGATCCTGGTGTGTGCAAGGTGAGGACTTGAGCCACTGGGCTATCACACAGGACCTAATGGTTCTTAATCTTACATAGACAAAGAATTTCACCAAATGCTTTTTCTGTATCCATTGAGATGATCGGAAAATAAAAAGACAGGATCCTTAGCCTTCAATCTGTGGAGGTGGCATATTACACATGCACATATCTTCGACTTTTCACTGCATCCATAGAACACATCCCACTTGAGTATGATGAATGATCTTTAAAAAAATATCTAAGATTTACATATTTTTCAATTGCAAGGCAGATTTTATAAAGAGATAAGGAGAGACAGAGAGAGATCTTTTATCCATTGGTTCACTCCCCCAAATGACTGCAACAGTCAGAACTGAGCCTATCCAAAGCCAAGGGTCATTAGCTACTTCCAGGCTTCCCACACCTGTGCAGGATCCCAAGGATTTGGGCTATCCATTGCTGCTTTTCCAGGCCATAAGAAGAGAGCTGGATCAGAAGTGGAGCAGCCAGACCCAGCACAGTAGTCTAGTGGCAAAGTCCTCACCTCACATGTGCCGGATCCCATATGTGTACTGGTTCTAATCCCAGCAGCCCTGCTTCCATGCAGCTCCCTGCTTGTGGCCTGGCAAAGCAGTCCAGGATGGTCCAAAGCACTGGGATCCTGCATCCACATGGGAGATCTGGAGGAAGCTCCAGGCTCCTGGCTTTGGATTGGCTTGGCTCTAGCTGTCGAGTCCACTTGGGGATTAAATCAGTGGACAGATCTTCCTCTCTGTCTCTCCTCCTCTCTGTATATCTGACTTTCCAACATAAAAATTTTAAAAATAAATCTCTAGAAGTGGAGCAGCCGGTCCATTGTCTGCTGATTTCCCAGGCCATAAGCAGATTGCAGTAGCAGAGGCAGAGCAATAAAGACACAAATCTTCAACCATGTGAGATGCAAGCATCACAGGGTAGAAGATTAGCCCTCTGTGCTAGCATGCAAGCCCCAATGAATGATCAGTGTAATGCGTTGTTGGCTTGACTTGCTAGCATTCTGAGAAATTTACAACTATGTTCCACAGGGTTATTGGTCTATAATTTTCAATCTTCTATTACCTTTGAGCCTGGGTTGATATCAGGTGGCCGTTCCCCATCCCTGGAGCAGCTGGGAGGCTGGGTGCAGCTTTCCCCCTTGTTTCTACCTTCCCCCAGAAATAGGAAGAAGAAATAGAACACTTGGAAACAGTGATAACACCCACTCTTCCCTAAGCCTTGATCTTTTCACACTGATCAACTACATAAACATCAACAAAAATGAAAGCTAAAAATTGAAAAAATAATAAAAATTAAAAACAAAAAGAAAAGGTTATATATAGACAGATTTAAAAAAAAAACAAAGGTAACAAGGTGAAGGCAGTGGGTCCAAGTGTCCTTTATGGCACTGGTAACCCATATCAGGGAGCCAATCCAACTCCAGGATCAGAGAAGGGCAGAGGGAGCGGCCCGGGTGGAGTTCCTGGTCCCCGACTTCACTCTGCACCAGTGCGCCTCTGAATGTGTGTATTTCAGGGAAGGAACCAACAAAAAGATTCTCTCTCCCCCTTCTATTATCACTCTATCTTCCTTTCTTTATTTATTTGAAAAAACGAAGAAAAGAGACAAGAGATGTGGATTAAAACACTTTACATTATAGAATTCTAACGAAGAATAAATGAGCAAAATCATATGACATTATACGTAGCACCTGGAGAAGGTAAACAAAATATCCAGTAAATGGGAGCTGAAGTGCTGCTGTTACATTGTTTTTGCTATTATCCGTGTTGGACACACATATTCAACAAGAATATAAATAGAGATCATTTTGTCTACTCAAAATCATGACTTCAAATGGTGCCGTGAAATCTTAAAACTACACTTTGATCAACATTCCATGACAACTTAGTCCCACTCCCACTCCTTTACTTCCATTTGCCAAATTTCATCAGACTGACAATAATTAATTGCAATAATTGAGAGCATGTTATTGAATTATAGTCTCAAGTGTTCACTCCTGAATTTCTATAAAAGTCAAGTGGATGCTCACTCATTCTTATGATTTAGATCTTAATTCGTACAGGCTGAGGCATCCTGCGTGACTGCTACTAAGAATTCACAAACACATTGATGATCTTGATTGCGAACTCTATGACAGAAGAGTG